GACACACCCCTGCAATCAAACACAAACATCACATACAAACACACACCCCTATATTAACCCCTTAAGGACAGAGCCAAATGTACACGTTGTGAACGAAACAAAATGTAATCAAAACCTGGCATTTGCGCTACATGTCTGTCCAACCGTAATTCACCTCTTTCATATTAAATGCACCCACCCTTATTATATATAATTTTATTCAGGGAAACAGGGCTTTCATTTAATATCAAATATTTAGCTATGAAACATAATTTAATATGAAAAATATGGGAGAAAATAAGATTTTTTTTTATTTATTTAGTTCTACATGACATTTTAACTGTCAATGTCATAATACTGTTTGCTTTTACTGCAATAAAATACACATATTTGTATTCAGCAAAGTAAAACGTAAAAAACAGTACCCCCTATGCACAGGTTTTATGGCGTTTTGGGAAGTCAAATATAGCACGTTACATTTGAAATTGAAATTCGAAAGATTGGTTACGTTGCCTTTGGGACTTTATAGTAGCCCAGGAATGAAATTTACACCCATAATGGCATACCATTTGCAATAGTAGACAACCCAAGGTATTGCAAATGGGGTATGTCCAGTCTTTTTTAGTAGCCATTTGGTCACAAACACTGGCCAAAGTTAGCGTTAGTATTTGTTTGTGTGTGAAAATGCAAAAAATGCCAATTTTGGCCAGTGTTTGTGACTAAGTGGCTACTAAAAAAGACTGGACATACCCTGTTTGCAATACCTTGGGTTGTCTACTATTGCAAATGGTATGCCATCATAGGGGTAATTTTCATTCTTGGGCTACCATAGGGTCTCAAAGGCAACCTAACCAATCTGGCGAATTTTAATGTGACAAAAATGAAACACAAGCCTTATATTTGACGCTGTAACTTTTGAAAACACCATAAAACCTGTACATGATGGGTACTGTTGTACTCAGGAGACTTCGCTGAACACAAATATTTGTGTTTCAAAACAGTAAAAAGTATCACAGCAATAATATCGTCCGTGTAAGTGCTGTTTGTGCGTGAAAAATGCAAAAAACTTCACTTTTACTGGTGATATCATCGTTGTAATACATTTTACTGTTTTGAAACACTAATATTTGTGTTCAGTGAAGTCCCCCGAGTAGAGCAGTACCCCCCATGTACAGGTTTTATGGTGTCTCGGAAAGTTATAGGGTTAAATATAGTGCTAGCAAATTAAATTCCCTTTACTTTCGGCATGGGTTGTCAGGCAGGTCCCGCTAATTGTAATTAATTAAGATACCCAATTATGTAAAAATATTACATAAATATATATGTAGAATTAATATATGTATATATATATGTATGTGAATACATATGTAAATATATATATATATTTTTTTTAATATTTTTATTTATATATAGGTATATATATAGTGATATATACGTATATATTTATGTATATAGATATATATATTATTTCGTTCTAAGTGTATTTTGATATAAATATATATATATTAATATTACAATACAGTTAGAACAAAATAACACACATCTATATATTTTTTAATTATTATTTTTTTATTATTTTTTTTATTTTATTTTTTATTTTATTTATTTACATATTTAATTTTTTTATATTATATATAAATATATATATAACAATAATTATATATATACATTTAATAAGTATCAGTCTACGTGTAATTTGATATTAATATATATATATATAATTATATATATATTAATAGTAAAATACATCTATACAGTGTACGTGTGTGTATGTATATGTAATATATATATATGATCTAAGTATATATTATTATTTTTTTACACTTTTAACATTTATTTATTTTATTTTCAGCCAGCAGGGGGACCACCTGTCATTACAGGCAGTCCCCCTGCTGGCAATGCAGGAGGCAGCTATCCCGGCCATGTGATTGTGAGGTCCTCGCAAGGACCTCACTCTCACATGGCCGTGGGGGACCGGAGGAGGAAGATCTGCCGCGGGGGGGCTCCCTGGGAGTCCCCCCAACCGCGATCGCAGGCGTGGGACCGCCGGCGACCGGGTAAGTAAGGAAAGACCGGAGGGCGTACTATTACGCCCGGCGGCATTTAAAGTTGCCTAAAATAGGGCGTAATAGTACGCCCTCCGGTCTTAAGGGGTTAAAACAATATATGTATACAAGCACCCCTTCAAACACCAACACTGTACATTACACTATAGCGCCAGTAAATGCGGCAGCGGTGTACAGATATACAACCTAGAAATTTTGAATTGGGGTGCCTTGGAAAAATTCTGAAATATTAAGGGCGCCTTGAACCTTAAAAGTTCGGGAACCACTGGGTTAGATGTTTCGTCTATTGCATCTTTTGTACCCTGACACTTTTTGGAGACGCAACAGATATATCGACCTTTCCATCATCTTTTCCAACAGAACGATGCTCACTGATTTCCACCAATCTAAATTGTGGAATTAAGATGAAACACCAAAACTTTCTAAACTATTTTCATACCAATTTACTAAGTATCGACAGGTTTAGACCCTAAAAATAAGAATTTTTCCCCAAAACTTTGATAAATCTCCCCTCGAATGTTCTTGCTAAATTTACATTGTGTTATTTTAACAATTACAAGATATTATGTTTAATTGACTAAGCAGCTTCATTATAAGTAACAGCTGACAGATGACTAGCCAAAAAGATTATGGTTAGAAGGGATACTGACTACAGCCCAGGGGCATAAATAATCAGAAACGGTACGTACTGATTTACATACTGTAAAATCAATTTAAAGCACTTTTTACAAAATACTACAATCATTTACAGTTTAAAAGTTCAGGAAACAGAACACATCAGCTATTTTACATCTAATGCATGTTAATTACCTAAAACTGTGTCTAACAGAACAAAATAAAGTAATTTCTATTAAGGAAATTTTGCAGACCATTAATATATTGAAGATCTCTATGTGACCTGGATCTGATTGTTTGAAGTATATTTTTATTATAGGGGATTTAAAGTTTGCTAATATTTTGGCATTTGTCCTAGACAAATCTTTTAATAGTTCCTTGACTTCTTGCCTCCTGTGAATGATTAAATACTGTTCCCTCACTTTTATGTCTTTACTTATAAAAAGCAAAAATCTGATTAACCCAAAGTCATATCAGCATTTAAAAAAAAAAGCCTTGGCTATTGATGAATATTTTGAAACAAATGAATGGCATAAAAAAAGGAAAGACCTATAATATTTTCAGAAATATGTCTATAAAGGAAATGTAAAAGACTAAGTAAATACATACATAAAACATATCCAAATGAGGAGGGCAAATCGATCTTTTCTTAGTAAAAATTGTAAATTTTAAGTTCCCCTTTCAGTAAAATATAAAGAAATATATAACTGTGAGTGACCGATTACAAGCAAAGGTATAGATTTTACATTATTCTTCAACTAAATGTTGTTACAATATGTGAAATGTGCAGACTCCCTTATTCTTCCCACAGTACATGTAGATCATGAACATACCTCCCAACCTTTCAAATAAGGAATAAATAAATAAAAAAGGGGCACTTTAATTTTAGGGGTGTGAGTGGGGTATGGCCAGGGACGGAGTTGTTATTAGAAATTTTAGGTGACTTACTAATAATACATGCAACTAAAATGTAATTTAGAGCAAGAATAATGTCGCTGATGAGCTGACTGGTGAAACGCGCACGTCAGGGGCTCAGGTAGCTTCTAAAATATACCAACAGATGTCAACATGTTACTACCGCATACTATATGGCGGCAATAGACATCTTAGCTACCTTACTTAATATTAGTCTTCCACCAACAATCATATTCTGCCTCTGAGAAACTAAGGCTTTGGCACTGAGAGGCAATCCTTCAATAGATACTACCGGAAGATTGATGTGGCGAAATTAAGCTAACACAGTCGTTAACAACATTACATTTTACCTCTGAGAAATTTAGGCTTGGGTACTGAGAGGCTCTCTCATTAGATGTCAAATATTACCGCATGATAGCTACAGCGAAATTTAAACAGCCGTTAACCACTTAAGTTACCTTTCTATACGCTTGAGTCACTTTACTATATATTGGTGCAAGGCAGGCTACCAGTGAGAGAGTAGTTATTGGGTAAGGGGTGCCATCGAAGGCACATTAGTCGGACTCTCTATCCAGATCAGGGCTGCTTATATTTTCTCCCTTCCCTCTACTCTCAACTGCCTTTACGGTACAATCTAGTAGTTTACCTAGTACTTTTCTGTTTAGGCATTGTTACAAGAACCCTACAAACTGTTGTAGAAGTACTTCTTTTTGTTTCCCAATACCCTGTTCGGTATTCAGACTGTGCGAATACATTCCCTGACCAGTTGTAACTATTTATTCGTGTACACGAACGACGGACCGCCCAGCCCTTGGCGTGTGCCGCCACTTAACCTCGGTCACCTTTGAAAGTACTGAACAGCCGACCACCCCCACGAGCGGAGCGTGCCGCTAATTGACCGCTGAGAAGCTGCGGTCTGCGGTTAACCACAAGCATAATTGGCTATTTCCGGGTGGCCTCGTTTGTGTAATAATTCACCGAACTGAACTCACGAAAGACTCCTGAACGAGGCCCACCCGCATCCTGGCGTGTGTTCCCAATTAGAACGTTGAAGCTGCGGTTAACTGCAAGTTAAGTACTCCCTTTCATGGCGGTCCCCGTTCGGTAAGACAACCAGTATGTGAGCGAGATTTGCGTAATTGTTCACCCGTTACTCGTTCCAGGGGTTTTAGGTCCATGTCCCGCTGGCCATCTATCAACCTAAAAACATGGCCGCCATCTCGTGTTCGGGACAAAAGACATGAATGGACTTTATATCAAGGAACCTAGCCATATAATTCGTGAGTTCTGAGCGCTGTTCATCCATCTGCTGCGCTCAGAACTGGGCTACATAATGAACGGTAGAATGGGAAATATGTCTGTTAAAGTATTCAAGTTATGTAATTTTATACAGTTTTATGTGTTGTAATAAAACGTGGGATTTTGGGCGCTTGGAGATAATTACATTGTCCCAACCATTGGACTCATTATCTCCAAGCTGGGTGGTAACAATTTAAAAGGATACATTGTATTACTATTGGTCAACTGCTCGTATTGTCACTGTATCCCATCAGGTCCAGAGGGGGTTGTCCCTGGACCTGGGGTTTTGCATAAATAGTGATGCCTGTGTGCCATTAAAGCCAGTTCGTTTTATCCTCAACTCGCAGCCTCGACTCGTGTTGTAGGGAACCGGGAATCCTAGCTTTACTATAGCTAGTGGGATATTCTACACTTACAGGTTTCTACCGTTTGAAGCCATGTACGACTCTCCGACTTCGGGAACCAGGACATCCAAGTGATCCAACCTCCAGCTAGACCGGAGGCAATCGTAACAGACATATATATTTAGAGTGATTGATTCCTATTCATTACACTCATAGTATGCCAATTTATGTACTATTATTTAATATTTTTTTTTTCCATACTCCTAGTACTAACTACTACATAAGGTATTATGGTGGTTTAAGCACTGTATTGGCCCTTTACTAGTGGAAGCTATTTTGTAAATATTTATTTTATTTTATTCACATTCATTTATACTAATTTGTGTTTAGGTGCATGTACTGCACATATTTTATCAAGTGAAATAAAAGTTAAGTTTAGCTATTGCGTGTTCTCACATAGATAGATTTTGGAGATTTATTATTTTTGTTTTTGGTCTTGTTTTTCTATTTTGAATTTACTATTTAGGGGTTACCCCCCCCCCACCCCCCCAGTTGTTTCTAAGAGCTCCGGAATCCCTACCTTAATTGTTACAATTGGCTCATCTTTTCTTTTAATATTGTCCTAGAAAAGAGGAACTTCTGGTAAAAAAAGGGGGGCAGAAGGATTTGGGCTCAAAATAGGGACTGACCCTCAAATTTAGGGACAGTTGGAAAATATGCATATGCATGCCAATAGCAATTTGGGAATGAGAAGCAAGATATTGTAAGATACACATACATTGCAAAGGCTGTTGTTGAACTTTGTATAGATATGCCAATCACACAGAGTAAACAGTTTTTGTCTAATATATTGGATTTTTTGTAAATATTTGCTAGTGATTAGATTACATTAATGCCTAGATTAAATCTTAAATCGTGTACATACTCCGAAATATATATTTTTACTTATTAATTAACATGTTGCATAAATATAGTAAGAGTATACATTACAAATGATTACAGAATATCTGCTGTCTAAAAAGTCCAGATATTTTTGTCTGCAGAACGTTAATTAGGACAGTATAAAATAACGCAAATATCCTGCTGATTTCTGCTGTTTCGGAAGCCATATTTGCATCAGAAAAAATGTGAACATGTGTTGAAATATGGTTATAATATCAGATACAATAAATATGGCATTTCAGCCATCTCGAATAGAAACTTTGGCGGCGTGATGGTCCATGAAAATTCAGCACACTCTGCGTGATGTTTCCAGTGTCCTTAGTACATTTGTCGTTGCAATGAATACTACCATGTTGGCATCACTGACGTACAATGAGGAGCATAACAGCTCTGGATGGTAAGCACAGTATGGAAATGCTAGGAAAATATATTTTTACATTTAAAAAAAAATAGAAAACAAACTCATATGTTCGTGTAGTTGGTATTGAAGTGCTTAAACGAACACTATAGTGTTAATGGTGCTTAATTTATCTGTATTTGAGCATGCTGTGTAGTTTATCCAGTGTCCCAAGATCTAGTTAAGTAGCTCAGACGTTCAGTGTCACCATACTTGTATAAACCTCAAAAAAAACACTGCCACCTTTGAATGTGTGTTATTGATCCTTTATCTCTACTCTCTCAACGAACATAAAACAGGATCCTAATGCTCTTTGTGCGTGTTTCCATAATAATTGGTAATAATTAATAATAACTAGATTATATTTTTGATTTACTACAGGGTGGTAGTAACTGATTAATTAATGATGAGCTAACCAATAATGTATTTAATTAAATTACCCATTACATTAAGAGTCACATCATAGTAGAGATCGATCACTGTATACTGATCTGGAATGGAGTTACTGTGAAGGATAGAGTTTAATGGAAAAATAAATGGCGGCATTGGATCAGAAGCTTTTGGAAGGATTTATGATGTTGAATGCTCATAGCTGGATGGCTTTTAAAAAGCATTTGGTTTAATTCATATTCTTGCAAACAAGCATTCCAGATTTCTAGACCAATTCCAGTTATCTTATCTATGAGGAGTCAAATAAAGTCTGGTGGAATAGCTTTCCATAGGAAGCAGAGCAATTTAAAACATATAACGTATCTTGAACTTTGAGTAGACAGGGGATTAAACAGATTCTAAGCGGCTACTTCAAAAAGCAATTTCAAACCTGCATATGTACTATAATGATGCTTTAGCCAGGTGTAACATTTATGGCTGCTGTTTGGAGTTCAGAGGGATACTATAAGCACTGCCTTTTGTTAGGAGTCTGAGTCCTGGATTATTAGCATTTATATATAGTCAAGTGCAGAACAACTAAAAGAATAGTATTGTATGACGACTGTGATCTGCTTCTATGACTAAGATCAGCTTCTATGGCTGTTAGAGTTTTTCAAGGTTAGTCCAGATTGAAAAAAATATATAAAACCTTTCTCTGCGACTGAAACGTGTTGTTTTATGCTCTTGTACTTTTTTGGTCTGTAAAGCTCTCTGACACGCGGGACTTCAGTCTCATTGTTTCTTTATTATTTATTTGTCTGCATTGTACATGTCCAGTGTATGATTTCTCCACAATAAAATCTTAATTGCAAAACAACAACAACAACAAAAAATCATGAAAATTATGGAGTCTACGTTTACTGCATGATATGCCTCCTCCCCTCTCCTCCCCCTAATTTTGTTTTTTTTTCCTGCATGGGATTTAATCAAACCATGAGAGACTGGAGGAGTTTGGGAGATGATCCAAAAACCTATAAGGGGAGAATACTATTGGATCCATTGCCTCCAGCCTTCATGTTCATGTATTACGACAGGTGACTTAATGGCAAAGGTAGTCAAAGAGCAAGATAAGGTCAAGGATAAGAGAAAGCATTATAGATGTATAGACAAACAAAGGTCCAAAGCACAGAGATTAGGATAAATGGATAATCTAGCCAAGGTCAAACCACAAATCAGAACTGTAAAGGAATGTGCTTCTACTGGGTCAGAAAGAACAACAGGGCACCTAGCTAGAGGCAGAACTGGTTTTAATGCCCAAAGGTGAAAGTCTGTTGAGTCACTTCATCCATTCATGCCTAAAGGAGCGTGGACAACGTGGCTCCAGCTTCACATCACCATTGATGTTAGAATGACACAACCAATACTTAGAACATATGTTCAAAGACGTGTCAATAAAGTCGGAGAGAAGGCATGATTCTTCATGAACACATAGTCATGTCAATAATGAGACCTACATTGGTGTGCGTGGGTGTAGTGTGTTGCGTCAAAACTGACAATATGCAGAAGAGAGATGACTATACGATGAACAGTGAAATTATTAGATTTTTTGCAGAACTTTTCTTTTCTTTTTTTTTATCTTAAGGATTACTTTTATTTTTCTTTTATATTTTTTCCTTATGATTATTCTGATTTTTGTTTTCTTTATGATTTTTATTTATTTGATTAATTCTTATCTTTTCCTTTCATTTACATTCCCGTACACTTTTTTCTTTTGTAATATATATTTTTTTACCTTTCCTTCTGCCTATTTCACTTTTCCCATGTCACTACCACTGCCCCGAAAAAGAATTGAAAGGTCAGCCTGGTTTGACTGCACACCAGGCTACCTGCCAATCATGCAGGCTGCCCAACTAAGGACAGACTAGGCAGACAGCAAAGTTTCAGCACCCTGAGCTTAGCACAAACGCATATAATGATGTAATGGTGTCCTCCAACACTCACTTGTCCCCTCCTCTCTTTCCTTCTTACTAGCAGGCAGAAGCTCTTGGTATAGTACAGAGCGGAACAGAAAAAAATGCAGATGTAGAAAGTGTTCATTTAAGGGGACATGCCACACTGTTACAGAGCCCGAAGCACCAAGAGGATTTGCACAGAATGCAAATTCAGCTTTACCGTAACCTTGTAATCAATAAGCCTAATCCATGGGCATGGGCCAGGAGCTTCAATTCCATTAGTCCCTATGGTACCTTGGTTCTGTGTATGTTCATCTATCTGTCTCTCGTTTCTCTAAATACTAGATTTGAGTATGGGTATTATACATATGCTGCTTTCTGGTCAGTGGCAGTCTGGCTGACAGTTCATCTTCTTTATTTAATATGAGGTTAAACCCTCAATAAGTTTGTTTTACCATTAGCATTACCATGGAGCTTAACAATGTGCGTTGATCTCTGAATTACTCCAAGTTATATTAGAATGCGTCCAACCGCTTTCCTCCTTCCTAACTGCTAGAATGTACCAATAAACTTTGTCAACTGTGCGGGAGTTGGGGGTTGTCATTTTAAGCTCCTTTGCAAAGATTAAGAGGGACCAAACGAATTCCTGGTAAAGGGTTTGGTAAAGTAGAATGAAAATCATTCTTGGAGTGTAAAAGAAGCAAATGGGACTCTATTGACTACATTTTCTATTGCTTTGCAATTAAAATAATAGTAAAAACAAGTATATGCAATTTTGTCAGGGACATAATTGATTCTTATTGTCTTAAAGGCACTCTATAGGCAATGTCTCTGCTTCATCTCATTTAACTGATTATAATGTCTGGAGTCCCCTTGTGCCGTCCTTTCATTCAGCATTAAACAGTTTATAATGTTTAGATGCTAAGCTAGACTCCCCAGCAGCCCATCCCCTCTGTGCTACTTGGGCTAACGAGGAAGCATTAGCCTGAGCAGCGATAGGCAGATGTGATTGGCTGAGTGTCAGCTGACTGATTTTAGCCTACTAGGGCACCCATTGTCGAGATGAATGGGTATGACTACAAGAAAGTGTGTAATCCCTGCCTTAGCCACATCTTCAGTAGGGGCCTGGGTTGTAGCTGGACAAAAACTCTTATTTCGTGTTTAATCTGCTTGGAAATGTTTAACACTGAAGGGATGGTGTCAGGGGACCCCCGCCACTATAACAAATTCACAGAAAAGAAATGCTTATGGTGACTACATTGTTCCTTTAATTGCTGAATTTATTAGCTAATGGAGGTTATTTCATGTTTGTATTCATTGTGCATTGCACATAATTTATTTTTTTAAATTAAATTAATGCCCGGAATGGG